AAAAACAAAGTAACGTACCTTTTTATTTTACTAATTATTTACCATATAAGAAAATGTATTCTTATAATAATCTAAATTAGAGCATTGTAAATTAGGAAGTAAAGATATCAGATTATCCTTTTAAATCCAAGTTGAACTTTATTATTTTTCTGTATATAATATAACACAAAATATTTGCATTAGCATTATTTGTATGATTGCCATGTTTGTTTATTCAGCATGCCTTGGGTGGGAGCCACATTTATAAGAAGCTTTTGAAAACCTCTCTTTTCTGTCATGGATCAATCAGGTTTCCCTGCAATAAAAAAAACCAAAAAGATCTTTAAGTCACAAACACTACTTCCACACCAAGTACAACCACAATATACTCTGAGAAAGGTTTCGTCTGTTATCCTGAACTCTAAAACTTTCTGGTTTCATAGCTGTTCGAGGACATCTACTTGACTTTATGCTTTCCCTAGCCACTTTCCATAACCATCACAAGTGAATGGCTAACTCTAACCCTTAGCCTAAACCTAACCATAGCCTAACTGTAACCCTGACACTAATTTTCTGAGCCACATTTTGAGCCTTAAACATGTCTCCTGTCTCCTCATGTCTCCATTTTGTCCCCATAAGGGCTGTTGGTCCCCACAAGTATAGTAGCATTCCAATTTTTGGTCCCTGCAAAGATATCTAAACATTGTACACACACACACACACACACACAAATACAAATATGAGCAAACACAAAACTATTCTTAGTCAACATACCTCCTGCGTTTTCTGGTGTAAATGGCTTCAAAGTTTCATCTCTTTCTAGCTCGGGTAGGGCTATGTAATCTGGAATGACTGTAAGATTGAAACCATCATAAACAAACTTAGTGTTTAGTAAGGGCTGTTTGAGTATTCTCTAAGTCATACACACAGGTCTTACCTTTAGAGTCCTCATTTGGATAAGCAGGCATCACTGTTAGTCCGACCACAAGAACAAGGATCAGGAGCACAATATGAGCTTTCATTTTCTACAGGAGAAATGAGGTTTAGTGTAGTCCTTTGGCTTCAATTCCACATTAAGGGCAGAAAAACAGATTTTTAATAATAGGTCATCTTACCTTTTTATTTACGAGCAGTAGCCTCTCAATGGGTCTTTAAAGTTATAACTGCTGTTTACAGTGTCTCAGACTGACTTATAAACCAGTCCAGCAGGACTTAAGCTAGGTGTGCACATGTCAGAAGCATCTTAAAAATCTACCCAGGTCAGTTTTGGGAAATAAAGTGTTCTAAAAATAAATCACATGTTCTCTGTATTCAAAAGCACAGAGCTTGGCAAACTGAACTAAACTGCTCACACTGATATGAGGGTTAGGTAGTTGACTGGTTAGCAATAAAGAGCACTCAAAGCAAACATACTGACGCTAAACAAAAACAACGATTGTGAAATAAAAGACTTGAAACTAAGCTTCAGTTTAAATTTGCACCTATAGGCAGGAGTTGAAACTATTCATCTACAGTCACTCTGTTTTAATGTTACAAAAAGTCAAACCCTTTTTAAAGTAATCACGAAAATCTGTGATTTTGTTACAATGAGATCCACCAAAAAGGCTCCGTATAAACGACTCCTTCTGTAATTCTTAGTATTCTATGTTGCAACTTGTAAACAGTAGATGAACAGATATATCATGACTGCATATTTTTCAGTAGTGTAACTATGTAGCTCTAAAAAAAAAGAAAAAGAAAAAGTGTGTCATTTGCATGTTGTTTTGTGCACCACATCATTTCCCCAAATGACTGCAATTTAGAAACAGAGTAACTTCATATTTGTCAAAGATTTTGTTTTTCTTAGAGTAAAATGAGACTCCCCTCCTCCGCAGTTCTGTAAAAAAGTCAATACAAACTCAGAAAATCTCCCTGTGACTCTTCAGCTAACCTCTCCAAATATCTTATTGTCAATACTATTATTATCACTTTTGTAACTGCTATTTATTTTTTTCAGAATAAAATACCAGACAAAAACAAAATGTAGAAGAGAACAGTATGACGTTAGAGGATGTCAAGGTGTGTGGAGTGTAAGGCTGAGGATTCAAATGCAGAATACAAGAAGTCGACTTCAGCAAAAGGTGAGCCTTTAATATGGTTTACAAGAGAAAGTCTAAAATAGCAGAGAAAAGTCCAGAAAGTAAAGAAACAATAACCCAATAACCACAATGAGTGAGGCTAACAGTATGCTGAGCACAGGGAACAAACATGGGAAATGGAGTAGATGCTGTGAAAAAGTACAAAGGCTGATTAGGGAATGTCCAACAGCAGAGTAAGGACTGGCAAGGACAATCAGGCAGATGAGAGCAACACTACACAGGGCATGAGAGAAACAAATCTTCACTGTAAAATAGGAAATAATACAATGGGTACTAACACTTAACATGTATGAAAGAACATGAAGACTAACACTTCACACAAAAAGATGTGACAGAGAGAGGAGCAGATAGGGAAATGCTCAGGGAACTTAAACATCTACCAAAAACACGGAAAATAATAACAGAAAATCCACAGAATCACAACAGCCACACCGAGGAACATGTCAGGTTAAAATAACCCATAATTAGCCAACTTTTAAAAATCTGTTTCGAAAAAAATGGAGAAATCTGATCACAAGTTTGAATTTGCAAATGTCAGACTGATGCAATATTTCAACGTTGTAGAGCCTCTAATGTGGGCCTTGCTAGTGTTTGCTCAAAAAACAATTTATTTAGATTATGATTGGTTACACATGTAAACCATCAAAATACCATTTACTTAAAGAGAATGCACCTGCAAAGTAATGCAATCCTAGCTGAACAATTAAGTTAAAGACTGAGACAATTTAACTAAGAAAGAATTCACACAGTTCCTATTCCTATTTTACCTTTTGTTTATTCTTATAAAGGTGTGACACATTCCTCCTCTGATACAGAACATTCTGTAGTTCAGTGTTTCCCAACCGTTCCACCTGATTAGTACTCTAAGCAATCGGCATCAGTAACAGGCAGAATAATTACCTTCTCTTCCTGCTCTAATTAAATGGGTCGCCAACTGCCAGTGAAACAGAAGAAGACAAAGAAGCAATTACGTAATAGTCATGCTGTGAGACGCGTAATAGTAATAGATAAATATTTGAAAAAAAAGTAGTCAATCTGACCTGGGTCCTGGAGAAAATTCTGACCCAGATGAAGGCCCTAGCATGAGTAGTGATCAGAAGAAAGCAAAAAAGGTATACTGGGGACAAACCAAGCCAATTCCGCTATACCTAATGCGCAGGGAAAAAAATCTCAATACGCTTTTTGTGACATTTTTGTTTGGTGGTGTGCTGTTTTCTAAAGTAAAATATGTGCCGTGGCTCCAAAAGGTTGGGAAACACTGCTGTAGTTAGGTAAATGTTCTATCTCACCATTCTTTGCAGGCTATTTTGTTCTGAAGCACCCCCTAGTGGATAAATGTAAAACTGGTTTATCATAAAGTCTGATTTTTAAATATTCTTCCGAGACCCAGCATATTCATTTATGGACATTTGTCATTTTGGTCTTTATAACTTTTGACTTATTTGAGCTACCCTACTAAGTCCTGATGTGCCTAATTGGGGATATTCTGGTCTTTCTGATGATATCTCATGTGTTTGGGTGGTCTCTTTCAGTTCCAAAGAGACAGGAAATCCCAAAAAAGTTCAACAGGAAGATACTTTTTTCCTCGGTTCTCAGGAGGATATGGTCAAAATACATAATTGGTTTAAATGTGCCTGTCTGAATCTTTGATAGCCTGGGTGATTCTATCACGTCTGTTATGTGGCTTATACATCTTCTCATAAAACCCATCATTTTTATTTCATATTATTTTTACAAATGATTTTACTCTATACTTTTCCCCCATTAATTTTCTCCTAAATGTGGAATAAGAATAACACCATTAAATAAGATATATAAAGTCAGAAAAATGAAAGAGAGGAAAACAAGTAAACATGAATAGTGGAGAAACTTTGAAATGGCAGACAAAAACGTTTTATTACAACATATGGTAATCCATCAGAGAAAATTACTCTTGACTGAATGCTTAAAATCTTAAAAGTAGTACTGAGATTCTAACGCAATGAAGTAAATGTTGTGAGTGGCTCGTTTCCAGGTGCTAATTTGAGCCAAAAGACAACCAGTGATTAACTAGAACCCTTAAGAACAGCTTGAAACAGTCAAGAAAATGGTATCCTTTAGTAAAATCTGTCATCACAAGGCATTTAACAGGGATTCAGTTATAATAGCATGCTTTTACCTACATCACAAAATCAGTACATCACCAGAGATTTAGCTCAAAGCAGCAGATTGGTTGCCTTGAGATAATTATGGCTACAATGTTCAAGCTAACAGTCTGGGGGCTAATAGGCACATCTTTAACTAAAACACTATGTCACACGTAAAGATAATTTAAAAAAAATTGTCAATTTGTCAAATTAAACTAACATTGAAAAAAATGTTATTAAAGCTCAGCCTTTAGTGGCTTCCTGCTTCAATAACTGGTGAATGATGATGTTGTCTACAGGTCTTAGTGTCTCCAGGATAGCCCCAATTTTAACTCTAAACACTTCATTCAAACATTTTGTGTATTTGTGACACATATAGTAAATTATATAACATATGTACACAGACACCTGAGGTGATCGATCAGGTTGTCTGGTGACCATAATGCAGGTATATTCATATTTTGTGCACCAACAGTGGCTGTCTGGGTTTTTGTTCCGTTTTGGTTAAGGTTAGAAACGTTTGTGATTTGTTCTGTTTTTATCCAACCTGGCTGTTCAGAGATAACACCCACATTGTAAAAATCCCCCTCTGAACATGTCTATGTCATGGTAACTGTACCATGTCTGTTGTACTTTAAAGAATTTCCCAACTTATTATGTTTTAAACTCAAACACAAAATAAATAATGAACAATTTAGATTTCTTTGTAAACTAATTGCCCTGATGTTTCCCCACATCTCATTAACAGAATGGAGTGCGTAATGATTGCATGGTCCATTTGACAGAATGGCTGCAGATATATATTAAAATAACAACATTATCTCTCCGTTATTAACTTATTTACCGTTTTAATGCTGACTAATTATTAATTGGCAAAATTGTTCACTACAGATGCTTCCGACTGGCTTTACTTCCCCTTTGCTCAACTCAATTTATGCACAGCTGATGCATTTTAGCTCATATCTATTGCTTTGTTTCTGATTAGGAAATGATGCATAAATGGTGAAACATCGAAAACATTTGTATCTGGATTTACTTTGTTTACACTTTAAGCAGTTTGCTCAGCAACAGTCAGCTCTGATGCATATTAGTGTAAATAACCACCAATACACAGCATTATCAAATCACCCAAACCACCTGCTAATGGGATGCATTTGACCACATATCTGCTGCTGTATAAACTAATTTCCCCTGATGCATCGACAGCAAATTAACAAGGAAATACTGTATCAAGGACACGTTGATCATTTTTTTTGTCTTGTCTTGAACCATTTTGCAATTCTAACACTTGGAACAGGCCATACATGTTTATCATCTTAAACATTTTTAAATAATGCCTGTAAAAGAATAATGTAATAACCTTTCAAGGGGACCCATTGATTTACAAGTACCAGCAGAAACTTCGCAGCTGACAGTTACATGTTTAAATGTTGAGATACTGTAGCGGAAACATATTTTAGAATCATATTACAAAACTCTTACTGGGTCACTCTGTCTCAAATTATCGTTGTCCTTCAGCTCAGCCATCTTTGATTTTCCTAAAAATATTCATGGTTTGCATATATGTCATGATTGCTGTGACATTTTGCCCCAAAAAACCATCTCACGTTGTCAAAGACCACTATTGACAAACTAATTTAAATGTTCAAAATTTAATGTAAAACGAAACACACAGAATGCTTTTTGACCTAAAAATGCTATTTTCACTAAACTTCCATGCTGTTTTAAATTTTTCATTGTGTTTAGGATACGTGCCTGAATATTACACTAATGTGTAAATTAATGTTGTTGTTTTTAAAATCTAGAAAGGTGTTTAATATCTTAAGGTAAAATTTCACAACAATTATCATACAGAATATATCCAAACTTTGAACATTTCGTGGAAAACAAAGGTGGCTGAAAAGAGAAGTTACTAGAAATTTAATGAGTTAAGACGGAATGACCCACAAAGTTTCCACATCAGTTAATTTTGTTCATTAGTAATTAGTTTATTGGCTATCGCAAGCCATGTGTTGCTCACCTGTGTGCGATACAGAAAACATTTGTGACGGTTTAAGCCAAGTGAATTATTTTATGAGAGCAGAACAAGAACAACAATGCAGAAGCATCCCTTATGAGTGAATAATGTAATAAAGTCTACAGTTTACTGTGTTTCTTCTCCGTTGCATCAACCCAACCTCGACAGGAGGAGAGCTCCAAGCTACATTTTGCTGCTGGGATCCACTTACAGCATTGACATTAAAACCAGAGCCCTTGATTGGAAGAATTATGACAACTTATACAGCTGGACAAGTTGAACTCCTCTCTGGTGATGACAGATTCAAATGACATGCTAGCAATGTTTTCTATAGCATCATCATGGTGCTAAAAGGTAATAGAAATATACCTGGAAAAATGGCATGTTGATAATTCCTTGTCCAGGTAGTTCCCCTGTTATACACAGCCATTTCATCACAAACTCCTTCTAATCAAACTACCACAACCAACAAACTAACACTGGAGGTTGCCATAAACCACGCTACTGTCTGCACACACTATAGAGATTGTAAATCAGCAGTGGTGTGCTGGTAGTTGACATGTTCTATATAACATCAGAGCTAAGTACAGTTTTTTTTTCCCAAAACATTTCTAAATACGAAGATATGTGACATCACAGCAACATAAACTCAAGGATGGTACTGAGTGTGCTTGTGTATACCTTAAACTAGACTACTAAAACCCACATCTATACTGTTCATACTCTTTCTTGTAAAGACAAACTCAATTTCCTGTTGTCTATGACATGATGGATAAATGTAAATGCATTTGTTTAGAAGCGATTCAGACTAAACTCCACACAAGACACACAACTCTTGTATCAGTCCTACTTCAAGAAGGAGACGATAACAGTCAACACATGGCAAAACTAAACTAAACAACATAGAGGAGAGCCTTTGAGAGAAGTTGCCATTCCAGGAACTTTGCAGTATAATGCAGTTCTTGAGTTTTATTTTGTCCGTAGACAAACAACAGTAAAATGGTTGAAAGCTGGAGTTTTGACTGCACTGCAGTCAAGCTTCAGCCTCTTCAGGTCTTTGCAACCGTGTGGAAGAAATGCACATCTTTTGGACCATCGTTTGGTGTCACAGCTGCTAGTGAAAGCTATTTTCCACACATCCCAAGTGTTTGTTTAATTCACCAAGCCCACAGGTGAGAGAAACAAATTAACTGTCCTATGAGATCTGGTTCGCAGGGAGTTGCTGGGAGTTGCCATCATCCCCCCTCTCTGATTGGTGTTTATAAAGGTCACATGGCATGAGAGGGAGGGGCTGTCCCTGCTCTGGCAGCATTGACTCATAAGGTGGTGCTGCCTCCAGTGGGTAGGAGATAGATGCAAGATGTTGATGCTCCTGCTCTTGCAGTCCCAGTGGGTAGTGGGAGGGAGAAAACCAGGCAGCACTGGCTGAGGTCTCTCCGCAGTATGGGGAAGGATCTGTAAGGGAGTAGCTAGGCCGTTCCTCCTGCTCTGCTCCCCCCTGACAGGGGTCCACCAATGAGTAAGGAGGTGGGTCATCTGTAGGGATGTAGATCTGAGTCGAACCTGGACCAACACACTCATCATAGCTACAGGCAAAAAGACAAAAATGAAAAAGTTAGATAAATTACAGAACATTGACTTTATATCATAACATCAGTTACTAAGTTAAGTTCTTCTTTGCCATTTGTGCATGTGGGTGTCTGGAGGTGGTTTTCTGTTTTCTTTATTATTTTTTTTAGCTTACTCCAAGTTCAGGCACATAAAATGTATCCTTTCCAACACAGGAAAAATGATAGCAACTGCAAAATAACTCATACTTAAAGGGCGTAATCTGCTCAAACTCTTAATGGGTATTTTGTAAAGAAAATCTCTTTAGCAAATTTACAGTTGTGCTGACAAATGGTTCATGTCAGGTAGTGTGCTTGCTGAACTCTCCCAATGCTTATCTTTTTAATAAGCTGGCTTTTAATCTGCTATTTCATGATAGCTTGATGCCATTGCCTTATTTTCTATGTTCAAATACGTCCATCCGTAATAGAAATTCACAGGAGAATACCATAGGAGACAAGATGGTACCTGGCCTGCCCCTCCCACCATCAGACATGAGCTGTTGTTTTGACATGACAGTTTTAACTATGCACAATCAAGCAATATCTACAATGTGCTCTACATAAAACCATCTAAAACATACATTTGGAAGATAAATAGGCAAGACACAAAAAAATATAAACCTGCAGAATTCAGCTTTAGAAAAGGTTTATGTATCTGTAATGCAAATTGTAAATACAGTTGTTCAGTGTTCTGGTAGGGAAAACCAAAGATGCACACTGTTGGCACTCAGGACTGAGCTGTTAATGAAGCCATAATATTGTTTTGCTTGACTAGTGACTCAATACATGCATAGCTGCAGTTATTAAGTCTTAATGAAAAGTGAGATTAAAGTTCCATGGCTTTTGTCAAAATATTCACTTAAGGTTTATAAGTGGGCTTAATCCATGTAAGGCAAACTGTAAATTCAACCTTAAAATTATGAAAGATTTCTGCAGGTTAGATGGATTATAACTGAATAAAAGACAAACAAAATACAAGTCAATGTAAAACGTTTCTTGTTTGACAGCAACTGCGTCATGTTGATGCTGGAAAGATGCAAAGCATGGGCACAATGACGTGACTGGTTCAGCTGCTGTTGTTCTGATCATTGCTCTGCCACTGCAAACCATGAGGAGCCCTAGAATTTTTATTTTATAAAATAGCCCTGTGTGTGCAAGTAATGGTAGATGAGAATGGGCCGTAGGAAGAGGTAAATCAGCGTAACTTAATCAGCACAGTGGTTAACAACATCAATACACAGCAGTGCCACACATGTGTGTGTATGAGTTTCTTTCTTTCTTTTTCAATTTCATTTCAGTTCAATTCAATTTTATTTATACAATACCAAATCACAGCAGCAGTTGCCTCAAGGCGCTTCATATTCTACAATAATACAAAGAAAACGGAGAAAATCCCAACAATCACATGACCTCCTATAAGCAAGCGCTTAGGCAATAGTTTCTTTCACGTTAAATTTGTGTCTTTCTGTGTATAGAAAAAGTGAGTGAGAGCTACTTCCGCCATGATGTGAAGATAACAGCTAATGTTCACTCCAGTTGAACATTAGCTGACGTCATTAGCCGTTTCCGGGTCAAAACTCTTCAGGTCTCAAAGTCAAACAAACACTGCGGCATCACTAAGAGTTAGAAAACTGTTTAAATTCAGTGTTGCTGCTTTACCAGGTGTAACAATTAAGTTTGACATCCAGATATCCATGAAAACAGGATTTATTAAGTTTAGCAGAGTTTGAAGTTAGCAGGGAGTTAGCTCGCTAGTTTCCATCTAAGGTTGATATACCATGTTCTGACTGAGGGATTTCTGAAAAATTAAAACGTACAGCTCTGTTATCTCTTCCGACATAAATGAAGATAGAAAACTAAACAGTGATGTTTGTAGGGTTACTGAAGTTGGGCTTGCTGGTATAATGATGTGCTAAATGGTGGCTAGCTACATGGCTATCGTTAGCATAATATAAACACATGAAGCTGGAGGATGAACACAATCACTTTTTTCCACTTGATAAAAGTTAACATGAGGAGAAATATAATACAAAAACATAATATAGAAAGATAAAGTTTTCTGCGATGGCTTTAGCTATAATTATTTATTATTAAATATTGTTTATCATTTATCGTCTTTCTCTTCTCTTTCTCACACCCCCACATAACTCAGGATTTTCAATAAATATTTTCATGTGGATTATTTTCACTTGCCTCATGCTAAGAAATCTGACTGTAAACATCAGTGGCATGACAGCACGTTGAGGTGAAAATTGAAGACAGAGGGAAAGTGAGCGCTAGGCACGATGAGGTGTTGTAACACACTCTAAATCCCTGTGTCTCTTGTCTCTGAGGAGCTATATGCTGCTCTGTTCCCACTGTGTCTGTTTCTGCAAACACCTCACACTAGATAATGAATAAGGTGTTTTACACCTTTGTGTGTTCACTAGCATGTGTGTTAGCAGGGTGTGGCAGAATAAATAATAATTCGTCCCCTCTGGGAGACTTGCTGGGAGCTGCACAACTGCTTTTCTGTTTGTTGTTTTGTTTGTTTGTATCTGCTGCTTGTTTCTATTTAAAGTCCAGACATATCATGTAAATGAAATTCAATGTCAAGGTATTAATTTATTAATAACTTAAGGATGCTTTTGCTTGGTGGCAAACAAACAGATTGATACAATCCTCATGCTACAGTTTGGGAAATCCATGTTTCAACGTTTTTCCTGCATAGGCTGGCTGCTTCTGTCAATTAGGGCTAGGTTTATCTGCTGGTTATTTTGCTGTATGGAGGTTTGCTTTACAACAAAGCAATCCCCCCCAAACTTTCACATGCAACCAATAAGTGAAGCCTGTCAAAAGCGTTGGATGAAGTGGTTTGCCACTGATACAAGTGTGAAGAATGTTGCTTTTTCATTTTTCCTACTAACAGTCATGGTTTATTTAAACCCAGATATTTCCCAGACTTCTAACCTTGACCTAGAAGATTTTGTCTTAACATTTGTCACAGTAGAAAAAGAAGTCAAATGCACACACATGTCAGCAGAAAGGGAGGACCTCTGGCATGTATTCATGCAATGGTTATGACGCTCTACAGAGCTGAACACCACACAGCTCTTGCTTACAGCATATGGTCTCTGTGTGTCGGTGCAAGTGTGTGTATTTGTGTGTGTAAAGCCAGCATGTTTCTGCTCTTTACCACTGTGAGAGGTTCTTGCCTGTGGAGTTAAACTGTAGATGGTGCTGCTACTGTGTGTGAATCATACCCAAAACTGATTTGATTTTTACAGCATAAAGCAGAAACAATATGAAATCTCTATATGACATTCAACAAATCAGTTTTCATCATATCAAATTGCTCTTAGTGCCAGAAAACAATAATCAGGTGTCTACTTTCATTTCCCTGCTTTTCATCTCTTTACATTACCAGTTTGTGCACAGTGGGAAGATTAGTTTCCTCCTATGAGGTGACAAGTGACACTGTGCAGAAATTGCTTTACAGCTTAATAACATGAGAAAACGCTTCCTGTATTTGTCAGACACTTGCAGTTAGTGTCACGCAGCCTGACACAGCAACGGGCAAATTATTGCAAATGCCTCAGCTGCTCCTAAACATGTCATTATTGAATGTTACGTGAAAAGTCACAAATGCAAGCTGCTGTTGCTCCATCGTGGTTTACTGCTGTACAACTGGTAAAACACAGGTAACATCTCTGACTGCCTGCCTTTGCAACATGTAATTTACAGTTAATTACATATTATATATCAACAAAGAAGCTGTGAAATGTGATTCTAAATTCTCTATAATTCCAAGCTTAAAATACAAATGGATAAACTGTAGTTTTCCATCCATAGGTTATAGTATCCATATGCTGACCAGAAACTAAGATGTTTCCACTGTTATAGGCAGAACTCTGGATCAGAATCGGCAATCAGACCAGCAGCATACGCTGTGACACTCGAGACCAGACATAATAATGGGTAAACCTCAGCATAAATTTGAGCAACATGACATAAATATTCCTTTTCACATGCTCACCATAACAGAATTGAAAAAAATTATATTAATAGATCAGTGTCTGGACACATGTAAGTGGCAAACACAAAACAAATCAAAAGGAAACAAAGCTGTGACGTTAATGCTTATTTAAATCTTCTTGAGAATGTCACACGTGCCTTCCTACACTATGTGCTCACCGATGCTATTATGCAAATCAAATCAGAAAGAAAGGAATCTGTGTCCATGCGTGTGTGTGTGTGCTTGCTGAGCTTCTCCCTGAGAGGAAGCAGAAGCTTTCAGTCTCCACAGGTGAGGCGCTGATCCGCAAGCGTGACTTTTTTTTTTCTACCAGACATTGTGTGTGTACG